CCAAACCCAAAATATGATTTTTACTATTTCTAATTTTCAGTCAAGCGCAACTTAATCAAATTGACATAAATTTCACCAAAATCTTTTATTCTACCATAGTGTCATTTCTACTGTTCTATTATTATGAACTAACCATCTTCCTCTTCTTGTGATTTTAACAGTCAAATATATGAAGAACTCAACAAAGAGATGTGCAAAAGATATCACAAGATTGGATTACGTTATTTTGTAAGAGTTAAGATTGAATATGTCATAGTCAAATTAATGTAGCGTTATTGTAATATAAAAAAAAATTAATTATTGTACGGAATCCCGGAACCGAATGGAACCGAACTCGAACGGTTCCATAATTAAGTTTAGACACTACGGTTCATTCACTAAATATCCGAAAATTTCGAATTTGGTTCACTTCCAAAAAATTCATAGCTATTATATTATTAATTATTATCAATATATTTCGTAGAATCCATTGTTATTCTTCTTACTATTCATCTTTATAAATAATTTTTTAATATGTCAAATAGTGGCTAATAATNTTTTTTTTTTTTTTGTGACGTTTTATTCGTAAATAGTGGTAAGAAAAATAAAATTAAGGCCTGCAACCTCCAAGAGCTAAACAATGTTACAGATGACTTTGAACTAATTATAAAATAAGAATTTAGTGGCCGGTAATGATTTGAGTTTTGTATAGAATTAATCAACATACTTACGTATGTATAGACCATTTCAAAAATTATTCGAATGCATTATGGACAAAATAATTGAATAAGTTTATACTTTCTTTTAAAAAAAAAAAAATTGACTTTTCAAACTAAGCGAAAATCTTGTATTTAATTTTCATTGTCACTCATTTATATACATTGTGCGATGTTTAGTAGGGTTGGGCAAAACTTCCGAACCGGATCTGACCGAACCGAATCGAACTGTTCTTCTAAAGTTAAATACCCGAACGGGTATCTGAAAATAGAACCAACGTGTTTGATTCGGTTTTGAGTTCTAAACCAAGAATCGAATAAGAACAGAATCTCCCTAATTTTTTCAATTTTTTTATCCTAAATAAGTCAAATTATTTATTTTTAAAAATAAATTGTTAACTAATTAATTTAGTCCAAACCCAAAATTAGAAATAGTAAAAATTATATTTTGGGTTTGGACTAAATTAATTAGTTAGCAATTTATTTTAAAAAATAAAATAATTTGACATATTTAGGATAAAAAAATTANTCAAGCCCAACTTAATCAAATTGATATAAATTTCACCCAAATCTTTCATTCTACCGTAGTGTCATTTCTATTGTTCTATTATTATGAACTAACCATCTTCCTCTTCCTGTGATTTTAACAGTCAAATATATGAAGAACTCAACAAAGAGATGTGCAAAAGATATCACAAGATTGGACTACATTATTTTGTAAGAGTTAAGATTGAATATGTCATAGTCAAATTAATGTAGCGTTGTTGTAATATAAAAAAAAATTAATTATTGTATGGAATCCCGGAACTGAATGGAACCGAACTCGAACGGTTCCATAATTAAGTTTAGACCCTACGGTTTATTCACTAAATATCCGAAAATTTCGAATTTGGTTCGCTTCCAAAAAATTCATAGCTATTATATTATTAATTATTATCAATATATTTCGTAGAATCCATTGTTATTCTTCTTACTATTCATCTTTATAAATAATTTTTAAATATGTCAAATAGTGGCTAATAATTCACTATAACCGCAAAGTAATAAGTGACAAAAGTATTAGATGCTCAAATCATTGAACCCTATGATTGGCGTGCAATATATATATATATATATCATACGACATGATGTTTTTAGTACAAAATAAAGAACAACTTAAAATTTTTAATTCAATTTAATGAAGTTCAATCTACCAATCAAATATACCGTTCATAATAATCTCAACTTGTACCTTACGGATTAATAAAAGATGGGTATTTAGTAGTGAATTTTTTTCGACCAATAACTCATCAATTTTGGTATTAGAATATTCTAAGTATTTGAAAAGAAATAACTCCTAACATTCAAGTCGTAAGATACTATTTTCTAGGAATTGTGTCAAAATTTTCGTCCTTTTTCGATCAAATTCATGAAATGTCGACAGTCCAATGTTTTTTGTCACATCTTCCCACTGGTAGTATGCAGAAGTTATTGGAAACAGCTAGCAATAATATTCTTTCTATGATAAATGACAGAGAAAACAAGATAACAATGTGCCACCAGCCTGCAAATATGTGGATGAACAAATCAACATTTTAATTGATTAATATTGAAATAATGTCAACACGCTGAAAACTATTTTTTATTATTAAATCAAATAAAGACAAGCAATACTCCCCCCCACATTATATTTTTCTATTAAGGGATTAGCAATCATAATTTATGACATTATTATTATATTTTAAATGCGGCAAGTTTTGTATATTAGAATGGGCGTTGTTTCGTATCATATTTTTAGTTTAAAAATCATTTTCTCGAAATATATGATTGAAAAGTTGATAAAAATTGCCGATCCCATGAAATGTTTGGTTACATTAATTGTTGCCTTTAGCTTAGACTTTTATCAACTTTTTAAGTTACTCCGGAATAAAATAATGACGGACAAATAGGGCTGTTCGTGGGTCGGTTCGGTTCTGAAGAGAAACGAACCGACCCAAAGCTTTCGGGTATTTAATAAATGGATCCGTCGGGTTCAAATATAATTATGGAACCGTTCGGGTTCGGTTCCGTTCCATTCGGATCGGTTCGGTTCCGTACTATAATTAAATTTTTTAATATTTACAGCAACACTACATAAATACAACTAATGACATTTCATTCGTAACTTTTACAAATTAACGTAGCACAATTCAAA